GATCCCATCCTTCCCCCCCCCCCCCCTTCCCTTATTAGCTGGCTCCAGGCTGGATCCCCTTGGTTAGCTGGATCCGTCCTGCACCCACCCCCTTACCCGGGTCCACCCTGTGTACCCCCTCCTTTTGCTAAAGCCGCTCTAACGGGTCCATTTTTGCCGGGCTCCCCAGCGGGGGCTGGACACTGCCCCTGCTCCTTCATTTGGGCTCGTTTGTGGGGAACAAGCCTCCTGCTGCCATGCCGTGGCCTTTTTGCCGGGACTGATCCAGACCCAGGAGCACAGAGCCGGGTGCCAACGGCCACGCTTGGCCGGCCGAGGGGTAGAGTTTGGGGGTGTCCGGCCCATCCCAGCACTCCCCCCCCCAGGCCAAGGCTTTCCTTAACCTTGCACCCCTCGGGCGGCGGGACCCCGCCGCACCCTGAGCTGGGTGCTGGGGCAGCACCCTGGGGTGGCCCTGGGGCACAGGCCACCCGCAGCAGGATGCATGGCGTCCCTGGGACAAGGACTACAAGTCCCAGCGTGCTCCGGGCTCAGCATGGCCCTGCTGACGGAGGAGGCCTGCTCCAGCCTTCCCCGCCATCGCAGGGCGAGGAGCGGGGCGGCCGTGGCCATGCTGCGCCCCAAAGCCCTGACGCAGGTGCTGAGCCAGGCCAACACCGGCGGGGTCCAGAGCACCCTGTGAGTAGGGGTTGGGGGCTGGGGCCGAGGGGCGGCTTCCCCCGCCCGTGCGCTGGGGGTTGCAGGGCCGGCTGGCACGCTCCTGCTCGGCACAGGGTGGTAACTCCTGTGAGGAAATGCTTTCTTCCCCCTGCCCTGGAAATGCCCCCCCCGGGGGGAAGAGGGGCCCTGCAAGGGGCATGCACGGGGCTGGGGCCGGTGCACAGCGCACGATGCACGGTGCTGGGCTATGCACAGTGCTGGGGCCGTGCATGGTGCATGGTGCTGGGGCCATGCATGGTGCCAGGGCTGTGCACAGTGCATGGTGCTGGGGCCGTGCACGGTGCCAGGGCCATACGCAGTGCGCAGTGCCAGGGACATGCACGGTGCCAGGACCATACGCTGTGCACAGTACATGGTGCACGGTGCCGGGGCCGTGCACGGTGCCAGGGCCGTGCACGGTGCATGGTGCTTGCCCGCCAGGCTCGTGCCCAGTCTGCAGCAGGTCCCGCTGCTACAACAGGCAGAGCCACCGCAGATCCACTCTGCCGTGCTCGGGACTGGGGCCACCCCAGAGCTTCCTGACTTTGAAGCCCCCCACCCCCTGCCAAAATCCCCTGCAAACCTGGGGTGTCCTGGGAGCAGTGCTGGGCAGGGAACGGGGCTGGGGGGGTTTGCTCTGCCCCCTGGCACTGCAGTGGGGTCTGGTGCCCCACTGGGTTTACAGGCACCAATTTGCCCCCCCTATCTCGTTTCCAGGCTCCTGAACAATGAGGGGTCCTTGCTTGCCTATTCGGGCTACGGGGACACTGATGCCAGGGTCACCGCGGCCATCGCCAGCAACATCTGGGTGGCCTACGACAAGAACGGGCACCAGGCATTCAATGAGGACAACCTCAAATTCATCCTCATGGACTGCATGGTACGTGGGGCCGGGGGCTGCCCTCCCCTCCCTGGGGACCCGGGCACTGCCGTGGCCCTGGGGGACCCTGGGACCCTGCCGGCAGTCCCTGCCAAGCCGGGGGTGCGACGGGTGCTGTTTCTCCCTGGGCAGGAGGGGCGAGTGGCCATCACACAGGTGGCAAACCTGCTGCTCTGCATGTACGCGAAGGAGACAGTTGGATTTGGGATGCTGAAGGCCAAGGTAATGCTGGTGGGGAGGGGGCAGGAGGGGCCGCACGGCTGCGTCCCTGCTGTGGGGTGGGAAAGAGCTGTTGAAGAGGATGAATCCTTCGGGACGGGAGTGGTGGAGGAAGCTGCCGTGCCTAGGACACCTCTTTCCTCCTTGCAGAGGCTCCTCTGTCCCCCGTGCCAGCCCAGGCACCGCACTACACCTTTTTAAGGCTCTAAAATGAAATATAAATTAAAATAAGCACGCGGGTAGTGTGCAACGCAGGTT